CATAATTCAACTATAACTTAATAATTTAATTGTCACACAAATTTTTGACGCCTTACATCAGTTACCACTGCTTCCTCAAAATCATTTATTTCAAATGTATTTCCGAAAAATGGAGAGATTATACCTCCGTCTGGGCAACCTCTTTCACCGTTCATGGCTGACTGATTACGGTCAGTATGAAACTGCGTTCGTCGACTTCGAACATCCGAGTCTGCTTCATACTGATCATAATGTCCATAACCAGTATCCGTTCCAGTTGCATGATAATCACCTTCATCATTATTACCATTTAGTGTCTCAGCTTTTTTAAGTAAATCTGTAAATGTAGCATAAACAATTTCAGAGTACAAAACTATTTACCAGATGATCATTTTATTCTCTTTCAAACAATTTGCTATATTTCACCTTCGGCACTGTGCCATGAACTAGGCCATCTATACAGATTCTTAAGAGAATCACAGTCAAGCGTATGCAGAAATAATTGAAACTTTGACAAAATGAAGACTGTAAATATGATAGATATACCCCAGTTCAACTGGGAACTAAAATCTTCTTTCTTGTGGTTGAACTGACTTCATATATCCCTCCTGAAAGAATCCAAATACGGAATATTTGAAAAAGACAACCAGGAATTAGGGGTGTAGTTTAACAGCAAAAGTCCACGTCATCATAAGTAAATGCCTCAAAGACAGTTACTATAGAATATAGTCCAGATGATTACACAGTATGCCTCAAAATACGTCAGTCCATTTTCCAAGATTTTTTTCAGATTTATACACTGCGATGTAAAGAAAACCAGTAATAATATTTTCTTAGAAACTTTTTGTTTTTTAACTAACATTTCAGATCCATCGTAGGATCAAGCTTAGCAGCTTTATGTAAAAATTTAACAGCTTTTGCACTATCTTTTCCTCGTAATGCATCACGTGCTATGTCCACACAACGCTGCGCTTCGGCTCGATTCGCCTCCATTTTATGTATATTTCTGGAATACTTAAAAAAATTCAGCAATAAATTGTTTATTAGTAATCATATTACATGCTGCAGTGCTAATTATTATTCGCAATAAATATTATTCATATTATGCTGTAATAATTGTTATTCATTTAAGATTTCATGCATTAATATTTATAATACTTTAAAGTGAATATATATCAATAACTTTTGAATCTCGAATTTTTTTTTCCCAAAATTCACCAATTCCTGGATGAGTCTGGATTTACTAGCATTTTAAAAAGTGGTACAAATGATTAATTTATTCTTACCATGAAATATTAATTAGTAACGGTAGCATTAACTAATGAAAAGGTGTGGAGTTTTAACTTAAATAAATGTTTGAAGAATCTGCCACATATAAATTAATAGCTAAATTTGCTGAAATTGTTAAACATACCTTTAGTATAACTATCAATTACGTGATACCACTAATAAAAACGTGTTGAGTAAAACTTAAAATGTCGGAATAATTCACATATACCAACACACGATGATCAGTTTTTCCGTTCAGGATGATAATTTCAAGTTCCGGATTAATATACCTAACTAAAATAGTCTACTTTTATAGTAATAATCAAAAAATAAAGCACTTTTTCAAGGAAAAAAAGTAACCACCCCTCATCACAATATAAAGGTAACAAATGCCTTTGAGTTCATTTCTCATCACAATGCTCCCTCTTATGAAAACTTTCCGTTTCAGCCATTTTTTAAATTTCTTATGTGAAACATGTTAATGGATCATTTTTCTTTTACGTTCAAATGAAATGCTGAATAGTTCGTTACGAAAATTCTAAAATAATATGGAATATAAAAATTAAGCACTAAATTATGTCAAAAATTTCAACTCTTAAACAATCAGTAATGTTTACGCAATAAATATTTAAGTAATAATTCCACAAATTTCAAATTTTACATTTTTTTTCTTTAGATTTTAGAATTTTAGATTGCAGAATATTGCAAATTTCAATCCTTTTAATGAAATGATAAAGTTGTAAATGAACGTTTTAATTTTGTATTGCATATATTATATTTTAAATTAAACTTGTAATAACTCTATGAAATTTATTGATTTTTGTTTATTGGGTCAAAAAATTATCAGTAGTAAAGCTTTGTTTCATACGTTGTTTTCAAGCTTCACATTATTTATCACATCTATCATAATAATTTACAAAAGTTTTTTTTTTATTTTGTATTTTTTTTTTTTTTTTTTGGTGAGAATTATATTGCTCATATTATCAGAATGAAAAATAAGTGATAATGTTGATAATTTAGAAAATATGAATGTTACTAAGTGTTCAGAAGAAACAAAAGTACATTTGATTAGATCAATAAATTTCTTTCTTTTGTTTCAAAAATTATGTCAAACTTTAGTAATTGGCAAGGATTATCTTTTGCTTACTTGTTACAGTTACAATCCAAACCTTTCAAATCCAGTAATAAAATTATATAATTTCATGTTTAAGTAAACTGTATTAATTACTCTTATTTTGTTTTCATTGTTTTCTTACCATTAATGTGTTAACAATTTTAATTTCTTTTAAATTATGATTAGCATAATGTTTGAAAAATTAATTCAGGACCATAAATTAAATCGGATCGTATTCAAAAAAAGAAAATAAAGAAAAAAAAAATGGACTGAATGAAGAAATTTCTGATAGCTCTTTTTTTTTCTAATTTTATTTCTCTTATTTATTGATAACACTTAATTTTTCTTTCATTTACCTTTCATTTCTTCTCCTTTCTCTCACCTTTATTCCATTCCCAGTTCTACTATTTTCCTAAATATTTGACATTCAAAGTAAAATTTTTATTGGTAATAATTAATAATAATAATAATAATAATAATAATAATAATAATAATAATAATAATAATAATAATAATAATAATAATAATAATAATAATAATAATAATAATAATAATAATAATAATAATAATAATAATAATATCATGTCATATGTTTACTAAAAGATGCGACAAATTATTTTAATGAAAAGAAATAAAATTAATTAAAATGCTTGTATTATGTTGTTCCAGAACATTTATTATTAAAAATGGCGCTCTTTCATTACAATGTTATTATTATTATTATTAGCAATCGAAACAAATACAGCAGAAAAACTATTCAGTGTTGTAATGATTATATGAAACTTGTTTGAAATTATCTATTCTGTTTAACTGGAAGCAAAACGAATTAACCTTACATTATATTACAGCAAAAACTGTCGTTTTTCATTAAATTTCACTTTCAGTGTTTAAAAAATTTCAAATCAATAATGTCAGTTTAATTTTTATTATTTAAATTTTGAAATTGACGCTTTTTTTTTCTTTTTTGCACCAGTAATTTTTATATAATTAATAATGTTTGTGCATGCTATTATTTCACTAAGTGATATCACTTGATCGTGAAAATTTATCGTTTATTTTAATAAATTGTGTGATTATTTGTAAAATTTTTAAAATTTGAAAAGGTTGAAGTTAGTCACATGATCAGTTGACATTTACAATCATTCAGTAAAATTTTCCTGAATGATTGTAAATTTATCAAATGCGAGAAAAAAATTGAAATGTTTGATATGAACCAATATTGCGCTCTTATGTACTTCAACCTTGCATTATCTTAACTTCCTTTTTTTTTCAGTATTATTTCCCATTCTTTTCTTTTTTTTTCTTTTTTAAAAAAAAAGAAAAAAAACATTTTGTATTCAACAGTAAGTGTCATCGTATTTTAGTATACTCTCAAAAGGTTTGACTAACAAAAAAAAAAAAAAAAAAAAGGAAAGAAAAATTGACAGCATGTAAATATTGAAAGTAGAACAGAAGCATCATATTGGATGAAAATAAAACAGGTCTTTTAATATAAAATTAAATTTAAGAATGACAGCATACTTCTTATTTGTACATTTCTTTGTTGAAATTAGTATAGCAATTGTGGTATGGTTTAAATTTTGAAAATTTTTAACTGTCTATTGAATTTTATTAATTAAAATATAGTCTATAGATGAAGCACGATACTGTTTGTTGATATATATTCAATACACATCACTTTTTTTCTTTTTTTTTTCTACATGAATTATTTAAATAAGCATTCATTATTTGCAATATCATTATGCATAAATGATACATGAATAATGAAATCCGGTTTTCATGTAATTTAAAATCAGTTTTTTGATTGAATAATTTTGCTATATTGATGGTTTTAGCGATAAAAATATCAAGTTAATATCAAATTGTTGCAGTGCATGGAAGAAATATCTGTATATCATTTTTATCATTCAAATGATAGCGAGAAAATATGAATGTATATTATGAATGGGTGTATAATTATGTATTCTAGCATAATTTCGTTTAAAAAAAAAAAAAAAAAAAACGAAGTTTATATATATGATGGTTTCATTTTATACTTTATACTGATAATTTATTTATTTTTTTGAATAGAATGAAGGAATTTTTGTCTTTTTAACTTTCTAAAAAATGACTCATCTTCCTTTCATCTTTTTTTTTTCTATTCCTCATCTTTTCAAAACAGGTATTTCTGTTTCTCTTAATGTATGGCGTCATAACGAAATGCCATTTTTCCTAAGTAAATAAATTAATTAGTATCATTCGATAATATCATTCAAAAAAGAAAAAAAAAAAACGAAATTATCAATCTTATTGCGCCTTTTCAAATGATTTCTTATTTTGATTAATTCTAGGAGACGAAAAAAAAAGACGAAAAAATTCTTTTCTAATTACTTTCACAATGTGAAAAAAAACATGCGCTCATCTAATCATTTGCCATAATTCTTTCATTATTGATGCATTTCAATTTCGTCGATTTTGAAACAAAAAAGTGTCAAAGTTAAATTTCACCTTTTTAAAGCTATTTTTTCCTTTGTTTTCTTTCTTTTCTTTTCTTTTCTTTTCTTTTTCTTTTTTTTTTTTTTTAGATATCACCTATATTTATGCATACAGAAATACGATGCTGTTTTACAATTGCTTATTCTCGCTTGGTACTTTCATAATGGTAATCAATGCTAAGACAAAAAATTCAGGTCAGTTTAATGTTTAAAATATTGTCGAAAATTCCGAAAATAATATAGTTTGTCGATTTTTTTACCTTTTAAATAATTTTTTTTTCTTCTCTTGTTTTGTTTTTCGTTTTTTTTTGCTTTTCTTTTTGTTGAAATAAATCCAATAATTTGAGTCAAAATACTTTTATTATGTTTTAAACATTTGGCATGAAAATTATCCCAAGTGTTTCAAGTTTTTTTTTGATTTTTCAGTGATAAGATAAAATAGTGAAAAGCTGTTTTAGCGTAAAATAAATTGCGCCATATTTTAATATGTAATTGTATTGGCAAATTTGTAGTTGTCCTGCGTCATTATTTTTGATGATAAATCTATGAATGATTTTATATTTTTGAAATAAAAGAAAATACATTTTGAGTAAAATCGATTTACTTAAATAAGAGCTTAATCGACTTAAAATAAAACATCATAATTTCTTTATTCAAACTACTAATTAACTTTTTCTACGACTGAAACAAATATTCTTGTACATTTAACGCTTAAAACATAATATTACTTTATCAAAAATACTTTCTACAAAAATATTTTTCATTTTTATTTTGTGAATTTTTTATGGAACATTTTTTGAAACATTCCTGTCAAAAATTTCTCAAAGCGTATATATTTACCTAAATGACTTTTTAATTTTTTTTAAACTCTTCATTCGTCTGCAATGTTTCACTTTTTTTTTTTTTAAACATTGCATATAAAGTTTTGATTAATGAAAAAGTAAAGTACATTAAAGATTTCATCCATAACATTAATTTAAAAAAAAAAAAAAAATCAAACATATAAGATATTAGAAACTGTTTTATTGAATTTTTAAAGCATAAATTTATGATGCATGTATACAATTCTATTTATTTTGTAGCAGATAAATGCAGAGATCTGGATCGACATTGTTTTGATTTAATTGCACAAGATGGAAGTCAGTGTTTGAAATCAGCATTTGCCAAGAAAAATTGTTTAATGACATGTATGATATGTGGTGAAATCGAGAAAAGTTAGCACTTACATGAGGACATTTTTTCTTTTTTTAAATCATTTTTTTATTTTAAATTTATATTTACTATATGTATGAAGCAGTATTTTGATAATTCATTTCATACAATTTCTATTTCCAATTTTCTCAGCATAATACGTATATATATGAATTGAAGTAGAGAATGGTATATATATGAACTAAAGGAAATTTGAACTTATCAAGCTTAAAGTGGTTATTCTTATAGATCAAAATATTTCAGAATATGATGTACGTTATGTACCAGAATTATTGAAGCCACTAGCCTGGTTAATTGGAATTTGGCGTGCTGAATCTGGTGGCAAAGCAATCTTTCCAACAATACCTGTATTTACATATGGGGAACAAATTGAATTTTCATTGCCAACTTCCAGCTTAAAAGCTCTTAAAGCACTTAACTATACGTAAATTTTTCGATTATTTAATTAATTAACAGATTATTATGTGTTAAATCAACAAATATATCATCAGCTTATCAAACTTATCGAAACTCATTAAATTAACATTTTAATATCAAATAATTTTAACAATAAATGTAATTTCAGAGCTTTTGCATGGGATATGAATAATCGTGAGGAGTTGCATAGTGAATATGGTTTTATAGCTATGAAACCGAATACAAAAGAAGTTGCTTTGTCAACTGTTATGAACAATGGTATTTGAACAAGTACTGTTAGCAAATCCGGTCCCCGGTTATATTTCAGGAAAAGTAGCAAAGATTATTTCATCTATCAAATACCAATTTATACATTGAGTAGCAAATAGAAATAGTAAATTTCATTCCGCTAAATTTCAATGATTAATTTTAGGCTTTGTAATGATTGAACAAGGTCCATTGCATGGAAAATCAATTAAACTTGTTTTGCAAGATATTGGTCGAATAAGTTTCAGTCGAGATTTACCAGTACATGGGGTTTGAATATATTCACATTATTCCTGCTTTAATTTTCACTCCATTAATAAAAAACTACAATCTTATCATGATAAGAAAGCAATAAGGATGAAGTTAGTTAATTTGTCTGAAATATAGAAACTTAATTGAATAGGCTTTATGTAACACTGATATTTAACTTCATATCAGATTATTAAAAGTAAATGATCCTAAGTAAGATAAACATAACTGTTTCCTAATGATATTTGAAATAAAAATGATGTCGAAATTATATCATTATGATATAAAAAAATTAAAAAAAAAAAAACTGTAAACAAATTTTGCAGACAATTCGAGAATTTCGATTGTTGGACATCGAAACACTTGAACAACGATTTATGATGGAAACTTTAACACATCGGATGCAAATGCATACTTCTATTCGATATAAAAAAATTTATCCGAAATAAATTAAGAAAATTCAATCCAAAAAAAGAAAAAGAAAATAAAAAATAAAAGGAAAAAAAAAAAAAAAAACGTTGTTCACATAAGATCAAGAGATAACTACTGATAATTCTCTGCTCAGGGTCTCACTGATCATTTCTGACCAATCACATCTTATTATTATTATTATTATCAAGGAATAAGATTAATATTTGCAGAGATCGTTTGATTCCAAAATTTTTGTGAAATGTGGGAAAATCGAATGAAAAAATTGCTTAATTAACTGATATACTGAATTAATTAGAACAAAAAAAATCTGAAATTCTCGACAATGCAGCCTAAAACACATAATAATAAACAAAAAAAAAAAAAGTGTACAGAAAGTTTTATAAATTGTAGCTATTCTTTAGATATGTTACGTTTTCACTTTCAATCTTTGCCACAATGTGAGAGTTCCTGCTATTTTCAGTATCTCATATTCTACCGTATTAGACATAACATACATTATTTCACCAATTTTACGTGTCTCTGCTTCAACTCTATTTCTTACGCTCGCGTTCACAAGCCTCGTCATAGAGCACACTGCATCACTAATTCTGGACATCTCTGCTTCAACTCTATTTCTCACGCTTTCGTTCATAAGCCTCGCTACATAACTCACATCGTATCTATCACCATTTCTAACTATTTCTGCTTCCACCCCCTTTTTCTTAAACTCTCTTTCATTCATTTTTCAAGCAATATTTGCGTTTTCCTCATGCGTCCTGTTTCTCCTCCACTCCAATGAATCTTATGTCCGTAGTCACTAGGATTGTCTCGTAGTTTCTTGTATCTCTCAGTTGTTAAATTGATGTTCTGGAAGGAAGATTTGGGTTTCTCTTTTCGCCGGGAATGCATGCTCGGTCGTCATGTCTTGTCAGTCCGAAGTCTTTTTCAGGAACGTATAAAATATAACTTTTCGGAAATTCTAAACAAATACAACTGTGTGACTTGTCATTCCTCAAGATGACGCCACTGTCTGCAAACTGGAAACAACTGCAAGAGGTAATTTTTGGATGGAATTCCCATAACTGCCTAGTTCCGAATTTTTGATTTCACTTTCTGAATTTCGTAAGACCTGCAAGCCATGTAAGTTAAATAACTTACTTTTCACAGTTCACTTGATCTTCATTATTGAATAAAACGAGTCGACTTTGCTTACATCACGCTATTGTACTTTTCCAGCCTTTATAGAGCTATATTATGACTGATTGTAGGAACTGAAGCAGGAGAAGACGAAATCGATGGAAAAAGCTAATGGTAATCCATATAATGGGGGCACCATCTGTAAACGCAAAAAAATGGCTCGTTTAGCCAAGAAGAAAGTGAATCGACAGAAACTTGACAGAGAAAGAGGAGCTAGTGGTTCAGACATTTCATCTTTAGAAGTTATGGGGAGTCAACAAAAGTAAGTGAATTGTTCATTTTTATAACCTTTTTTATTCATAACTTTTAAATTGTGTCATGAATTTGATTGCTGAACGGGATTATTTGCGATTACTTTGTAAATAAAATTCGTGAAACAGACTATATTATCAGCAATTATTTTTTGATTTTTAAAGTTGAAGAATATAATAATTTAGTTGTTAAAAAAGAAAAAAGTTATAATAGTAGCAGTTTATTAAACAAATTGATAAATGCTTGTTTGGATCACTAGTTAAAGAGGAATTATGAATTATTGTCACAAGTGGATTTTAAGGCCAAGTTTGTGGGAATGATAATTGTGATAACCTTCCATAAGTGATCTGTTTAGCAGGGAAAACGAGTTAACGAACGTGCTTGGAATAGATTGTGAATATGTTGGCGTTGGCATTGATGGTAGTGATAACATGCTTGCAAGGATTTCAATTGTAAATATGCAGGGTGAATGTATTTATGATAAGTACGTGAAACCAAGAGAGAATATAACGGATTACCGCACAGCAGTAAGCGGCATTAGGCCTATTAATTTGGTGAATGGTAAGTTATTTGACAATCGTTATACTTCATCCAGCCAGATTTTTGAGAATTTCAGTGCAGTACTCATGATTTTATTAGATGTTAACGACAGCATTATCAGGTCAAACTGTCGGTTTTTATATCACTCGATTGCGGTTGACTTCTCCATGAAAGTAGAAATTTTCATTTGTAGAATCTCTTTTTTTATCATTTTTTAGAATAGGAAAAGTAGCGGACAAAGATGAGCAAGCAGTGAATATTTAATGCATTATTTCATTGCAAACCTATACTGTAACTTAAAATTTGTAGGAGAACCGTTCCAGAAAGTTCAATTAGAGGTGCACAAATTACTCAGCGGTCGAACTGTTGTCGGACATTCTCTCAAAAATGACTTCAAAGTAAGTTTCAGCTTGATAATTTAATATTAAAATAGGAGTGCATTATATATAGGAAGAGAGAGAGAGAGAGAAAAAGATCAACGGATCTGTCACTTTTAGGTTTTGAGTCTTTCTCATACGCGCAAGATGACACGAGATACCGCCACATACTTGCCATTCCGCAAAATTTTGAACCTTTCACGAACTCCATCACTGAAATTACTGGCAAAACATCTACTGGGTATTGATATTCAGAACGGAGAGCATGATTCGGTTAATACTTCTTTGCTATTTCAAAAATACATCTTTATTGAAAAGCTTTTGGACAACCTCATAGAAAAAAAGTATTTATGAAATTGGTGAGATGGATAGCTATCGAATGTACTATCCTCACCATATTCTTTTGCAGTTAAAGGCTTAGCAGTTTCAAGCCATGAAGCCCAGTTCTCCCTCTGAATCGTTTGAGTAGATATGGTTACACATAAATCCTGATATCCAGGGAAGGATATATTAGTAGTTTGAACTATTAAGAACTTTGAATTTCGTTAGTTTTAGATCGTTGACGCGCGAGTCGCAATGCGGTTATACGTTTTGCATCGAAAACAGTGGGAAAATTATGTCCGATCTCGTAATCGGTGATCATTTCACATCGCTCATTTGCTGTTTGTCGTTTCCTTAAGATGTTCTGAATGCCTAACAAGCAATAAAAGCTATTTGAACGATAGGTCATGACTAATCTCCCACATCACAACTTGCATTACGCCAGTACCTCTATGAGTTATATTCTGTTACATGATTAACATCCCATCCATGTCTACTCACGTAATACCCACTTGAAATCCTGGACATGAGGCAACTCATGTTTTCCTTAAATGTAAATCGCCTTGCCTCACATGTAAGACCCCAGGTCTACTATTTCTGCGTTTAACCTCGAGTCTCTCTAAGGAAAATTTTGTAGAATTATTACAATGTAATTTTAGAAGCAACACACCCTTTTATTACTTCCAATACAGGATACACAATGCAAACAGGAGCCTAACTGCAAGAAAATAGAGAAAACACTGTTATACACAATCGAATACCAAAAGTTCTTTTGAGGCAATTCATTCGGAACAAGAATGTGAAAGAAGAATTTCAAAAATAACCGAAACGAGATTCTTTATTAAAAACACATACCGCCCTTATACAAATTATCGGAGACACTAAACAATGAAGAATTCAAATCAGATAAAAGATATACTTTCACCGCCAGTCACACAGGAAAAGATCACCTAATTAAAGAAAACAAAATTCAGCAGCGAAAAAAAAAAAAAAAAAACACAGTTCGTAACACCGAGATGGCGAGAATTGAATGACTTTTACAGAGATTTTGAAAGCATTGAAAACCGTTTCTCGTGTATAAATATTTTAAGACATGGCTTTTTTTTTTCTTTTGCTTCCAAATGAATGACTTTATGCGTAGGTGTATGTGTGTGTGTATATGTGAATGGATGTAAGACAAGGGAGGGAACCTTTAGAAAATCATTTTTTGTCTTGAAAAAGAAACAAAAATAACAACGAGGAGGATACAGCGCCAATCTATCGTTGATCATGTTGGTGGCAAACGGCAGGTAGGAGGAAATGAACTTATACTCATATCTGAAGTCTCCATTAAAAAACAGTTATAACGTATTCCATGGAACCCCATTACAAAAGGGAAGAGGAAATCCATAGCTGAAAAAGAGACATGCAACAAATTACTCAAAAAAAGGACAAAAACAAAAAAGTGCAATAAAGCGTCAGAATACACCACCATAAATTTGGTATGTATTGGGAAATCTCCCCTACCGTAAAATTAACCTTCCCCTGATCAAAAAATAGCATGGCGTCGCCTATCTCTCCGAATACGTTTTTAATCACTGCGGTCACTGCGCGGACATTCACGACTGATATGCCCTATTTGTTGACAATTATAACACCGTTTCGACTGATCTGAACCAGAATCCGGGCAATCACGTGAAATGTGACCAAATCTGCCACAGTTATAACACTTCTGACTCCCACCACCAGCAGCACCAACGCGACGTTCTGTAGGACACTCTCGAGCAAAATGCCCAAAACCTAAAAAAAGCAAAAATGGGGTTCAATCTGATATCTGTGCCCAAAACCTAATGTTTACTGAAAATAATGAAATACTTCTATGAAGCTTATTCAGTGTACACCCAATTCCTATCAGGAAGCACACCACATTAAATAAAGGTACAGTTCTACCATAAATGTTGCAATAATCCGATAAACCGTATAAAATTAGCGAAAAATCATCAAAATCATTTACCACCACACTGGTAACATTCACTCTGACCAGAACGTCCACCACCGCGTCCACCGTAATAGCGTCCACCACCACGCTGGTTCGGGCACTCTCGTGCAAAATGTCCCGACTGTCCGCAATTAAAACAATCTCAAATGAATGAAATTGCTGAAAATCTAAGTAGCGCTAATCATACTATGTGCAAAATAGCTATATCAGAAAATCTTGATTTTCATTTCAGAATTTCTTTAGCTAAAGCTTAAAATATACACCCATCCTGCACTATCACATAAAACACGTTAGGAAAAAAAAATAAACCTCCTCCAGTTCCTCGTCGGCCGGCCTCCTGAATTTGGGTAGGGCAATTCCTAGCAAAATGTCCTTTTTCGTTGCATTTGTAGCACCTCTCTGGGTCGTTGTTACTCATGGCTCCAGAATACTCCTACCTCGTCTCTTCAACCGCCTCCGACTTACTCTCACACCGCAATGCACGCGTCACACGCCACCTACACACCTAAATAGAAAACCGACCATGTAAAGAAGCAAAAAATGCAAATTACGATAATAACGAAATATCCAAAAATGATGAGTTATGATAACAATCGAAATATCATGCTAGTTGTAAATTAGGGTACATTATTACACTGTAGGAAACCGCCGCACAAGCATACACCAATAAGCATGATTTTCAATCAGTTAATGAAATTACAGATTAGTTTGGAGATATCCGGTCATCAACCGTATTTATCCCAGTTCCAGGAAATTCGACAATGAAAGAACTTTTTGATTACACTTCTTCAAGTTAGTGACTATTCGGAAATTTCGAAATTTGTCACCATCCTCTCAATAAAATAAAAAAGCATTAATTCCCCTGTTACATTTCACAAGAATAACCACAAAGCCATTAACAATCAGCTTGGATATCACAGTACAGTTCGATTTGATAGAACCATCAAACGTCCTGTTAAATAATAACGAACTATCCAAAAAGAACAGGAAAATAAGGCACGGTGTATTGATGAATGACACTTTAAGCTTACTTAAAATAATAGTCACAATGCTGTCCAAAACATATAGAGTCAAGTT